AATAGTGTGTGTAACGTAACTAACCTACCCTCCCCCCCACCCCCCACCACACACACACACACAAAATATATGTATATAAAATATATCATATATCATATATATTATATATACATATTTATTGATTAATCACCTTTTCGAATGATATCTTTTGACATCTGTCGCAAGCTCCGTATTCATGCATGCATACGCGTATCATGGTTCCACGTTGTCATACGTATGTATACGTGATTGAAGAACATGGCTTCGAAAGAAAGTAACCTTTCCGCACTATATACGGAATTAAATAAATTAGGACAGAATGGAGAATACGAGAGAGCTTTAAAAACTGCAAACAGAAGTAAGTAGAGCCGAAACTATATTATTCATCAAAATAAGAAAAGCGAAATTAGCAATCACGACAAAAATAGTCGGACTATATTATTCGTTGCTGTAATGCTTTTGTATTTCATATTTTATTGTAATATTATGCTTACATCATACCTTGAAGCAATTTAAATTGAAAGAAATATTCTAGAACACGAAAGCATGTTATTTTAGAGCAGTATGAAACAATTTACACTTTATCATTACAGTTTTAGGTATCTCCCAAGATGAAGAGGCGGCGTTTCACTGCAAGATTATTTGCTACATTCAGTTGTCAAAATTCAATGAAGCGTTACAACTAATTGTTAAAACTCCCAAATTGGCAACGTATGATTATGTTACATAACAATATTACTTTACATTATAATATATGTATAATATTCTTTATAACAACATATTTATCTTTTTCTCTAATATAGAAATTTAGAATTTGAAAAAGGATATTGTCTATATCGTTTAAATCAAGTTTCTGAAGCATTAAAAGTGATAGAAAATGTACAAAATCCTTCTTTGAAAATTAAAGAACTAAAAGCTCAGATATTGTATCGCTTGGAGAAATATGAAGAGTGTTTTGCAGTATATAGAGATATCATCAAAAATTCAAATGACGAGTATGAAGAGGAAAGAGAAACAAATCTTGCGGCTGTCCTTGGCAACTTGGCAACTGAAGGTTCTGTAAGTGTTCATGTATATCTTTGGAAATTACAAGAGATTTGTATCATTACTGTTTGAAATATTGATAGTTTTAACAGAGATTTAGACAAAGATCTTTTTTCCAGGACTTAGAAGTTCCTTCCTTACGCGAACATACTTATGAATTAATGTATAATGCAGCATGTCGTTTACTCACTCAAGGAAGCAGAGATGATAAAACCATTCTAGTAGAAGCAGAAAAGAAGTTGCGAACGGCTGAGAAAATGTGCAAGGAGGGATTGGAGGAAGATGGAGTATCTGAAGAAGAGATTGAAAATGAATTGGGTGTAATTCGAGTACAACTTGGTTATTGTCTACAATTACAAGGTCGTGAAAAAGAAGCGCAAGCGTTGTACAGTGCTGCTTTAAAAGTCAAGCCAGATGATATTGCATTGGTCGCTGTGGCTAATAATAATTTAGTATGTCTGAATAAGGATCAAAATGTTTTTGATAGTAAAAAAAGAATGAAAAGTGCCACTCATGAAAGCCTAGAGCATAAATTAACTTCTAGACAAAGAAGAAATATCGCGTACAATCAATGTTTACTAGCGTTTTATACCGACCAAGTAAGTCTATTTCACATCATTAATTGCGCTACTCAAATCAAAATATAGTTATCTTATTATATACATATTTTTTACACTCTTATTATATACATATTTTTTTCTTTCAGGGAGAGCAATGTCATCAATTGTGTAATAATCTTGCAAAAGATTGCATTACACTTGCAGCAGACGCAATGTTCATAAAAGCTGTACAACTTAGTAAAGAAGGTAAATCAAAGGAAGCAGCAAAATTATTAATCGAACACGCAATTGGTGAAAAGGAATTGCCTATGAAATTGGCCAGCGTACAGGTACTTCTAAGTCAGGATGAAAGAAAGGATGCTATCGCTATTCTTGAGAATCTAAATGAAAGGGATAGATCTCTACCCGGAATAGTCAGTGCGCTTGTTACACTTCACTTGGCTGACAATGATCGAAACAAGGCATCGGCCGTTTTAAAAAATGCAGTCACTTATTATAAAAAGAACAAGGTACATTTGTAACATTGGATGCATGTGACGTAGTATCTTCTACGCGAAATTTTTTATCAAGTTACAAAATAAAAAATTCTTTTAGGAAACCACTGAAAATTTGGGAGAATTGTGGCGGCAGGCTGCCAATTTTTACTTACGCGGTGGCGAACTCAAGATTGCTGCTGACATCCTGCAAGAATTAGTAGATGCCTCGCCATCCGATACCAAAACTTTGGCTCAATTAGTAGTTGCTTATGTTCAGTTCTGTCCTACTAAGGCACAAGCATTATCTAAAAGATTACCACCGCTTCACGATCTTGCTGAAACTACCGATGTTGATGCATTGGAAAGCAGCAATTGGGTTATCGGGACTAAAATAGTAAAGAAAAAGATTGAACCTTCCCCTGGGTAAATATTTCAGTTAACTTATTTCAATTTGAATATTCCAAAGTCTATGTGTTATATGTGTCTTGATTTTTCACCAGCAAACCAATGTCAGATATCATTCAAAAAAAGCACAAGAAACGTAAACGTAGAGGCAAATTACCAAAGAACTATGATCCGAATGTTGCGCCAGATCCAGAACGGTGGTTACCAAGACATGAACGTAGTGGATTCCGTAAGAAAAGGGATAGAAGGAATAGAGATATCGCTATGAAAGGGACACAGGGAGCTGCTACAGGAGCTAGTGATCTATAGTATGTATATTAGATCTATAGTATATCCTTCTAGATATGTGTTGTGTTTTGTATGTGTGTGTGTGTGTGTG